GCCATTGCCCTTTCTTCCTCAAATAGATGTACCACAGCTGACCAAAAACAGACAAGTGGGTCATATTCCTGCCCCTCCTGTGCTGGATGGCACCTTCCTTCCCAGCAGGGACAGCCCAGTGGCACTGGCTGCTGCAGTTCCCTCTCTGCCACACAAGCTGGCAGTAACCCTGGGGCAGTTGCTGTCTGCTTGAGCGTGCCAGGCAGCAGATGGGGCTGGGACAAGTCCCTCTCAGCTGTCCCTGTTTGTGTGCCAGAAACCTCTAAGGCTGCGGTGGGGGCACAAACCAGGGCCCCTCAGAGGCTCACAGTGAGCCCCCCACAGCCCCTGCTGCCCACAGCCAAATCTCTGACTGCTCAGCCAGGCCTGGCTTCCTTGGGTTCCTGCACCACCTTTTCATGTCTCTGTACCCTGCATTGCTCTACTTCAATTCTTTTGCCTTTAGATAAAACTGAACACCCCACCAAATTACAAAACAGGGCAACAGAAACAGAGAGAAAACAGAGCACCTGTCCTCTCAGGAAATGCAGAGAGAGATGGAGTTAAGCGGTTTAGTGAAGAAGCCTTGGACTTCAGTGGAGGAGGAGCCCATCCCTCGCACCCCGTTTCACCTGTAGCCCCTTTGCATTTTACCTGCAGGAGATCCTTGGCAGACCAGCGACACATCACATCTGGTTGAAGGCAGCAGCTCAGGAAGTCACACAGGCAAGGCGAGAATCGGTTGGGCTGCCGCAGCTGTGGTCTCCTTCCTCTGGCTATCAGGAGTTGAGCCTGCAGAAAAAGGAAACTGGAGGCTCCACCTGCTTCTTTCCCATCTGTAACTGCTCTGCCTGAGCCCATTGTTTAAGCTCCACTCTGCAGTGGCAGTTTCTGCCCTGGCAGAGACCAGAGATGCCTTTCCTTCACCAAACAAAAACCCAAACCCCGATGCAGCCAAAGCTTTTCCAACATTCAGCAGATCTTGCCTTGGCAGCTGATTTCATTGACTGACCTACTCAGTGGGAACTACATCACCAAAAGCAAGATTCCTTCCCTGAGGAGTCACACCAGCTTGCCAGGCTTTTTGGAAGGCGTACTTTGCTATCCTAACTGTAGTATTTCCAAGGACTAGTATGTGAAAGGCATCTCTGCAGTGTTTCTTGGTCCGTTAAGTACAGCTGCCATAAAATAAAACTCATTGAGCTTCTTGTCCTCTTCTAGAAAACAGTGGTAAGTGGAAGGAAAGCAAGGAAGTGGACCAAGGTATTCCTCAGGTAAGAAAACAACCATTTGGAATCTCATATTCAACACAGACACTTTAAGATGCCTGCACAAATACACTGAGATGAAAATGCCTGTTTGGGCACACAGGAGCCACCTGCAGCTCTGTCTCTCAGCTGCAAGTTTCATCTTCGTTATGTGGCAAAAGGAAACCTTTTCATGGTCAAATCAGAAGAAAAAGTGCCATCCCTATGGTCACCCTCTGCTCATTTGGATACTCAAGTCATTACATTAATGGTGTGCCCATTGCAGAAAGTGTTGTGTAAGAAATGGGAGGTTTGGCAGGATCTCCATGACACCAGGCTGCTCCACAAAAATGCCCAACAATACTAACAGCTCTGTGCTGATGGCACTGAAATAGATGGTGACCAAAGAGACTTTGTTATTATCCCCTTCAACCAGAGGAAAAATTCCAAGCCTAACACAGCAAACACACTCCCCTTGAGTACTAATAATTATGGCAGGTTTCTTTGCTTTTTCCACACCACCAGAGGACGCAAAGGGGGTTTATCCTGTCTGTGCTCAGCCACTGGACATGGTGGGGAGTCCTCACTGCCATTAGAACTGTGCAACCCAGGTGTTGGAACCCAGGACATCTCTCTGGATGCCCTGGATGGCTCAAAGCCCTGGCAGGGGCTCAGAGACCCTGGTAGGAAGCCAAAGACACCTGGAAATTTGATCTCAAGCTCAGCAACCTGTTAAAGTACCAAGAAACAGCCAAGGGTTTGGTGTACAATTCCAACAGCTGTCAGAGCAAAACACATCCTAAACTTCTCCAGGCCACCCACAGACATGACTGAACAATGTACAGATGATTTGAAAGCCTGAAAGTTTTGAAGACCCATAGGCTTTGGAAAAGACGCTACAGAGTGGAGAAAAATTGATGTACTGTGGTTAAAAAAAGAAAAAGCAAGGAGAACTTCTTGTGCGTTGCTTTGGTGGTTCTTTCTTTTCAGCTTTTTCTTTTTCTTCTTTTTCTATAAATTGAAACTGGGAAGACTCAACCTCCATTTTGAAGGATGTTTATCACACATCCAACTGTTCCACTGAAAAGTTCTTGTCCTTCAGAGACAGAGCTCCAACAGGGTTCAAAAAGCAAAGGAGAAATGTCAGGCATGGCTGGAGGCCAAAATGGCAGGTTTCTGAACTGGTTAGGTGTCTGAACTGCCATTTCCCTTCTGATGCAACCAAATCTGCAGCAGATGCTGATGTGCTGCAGGGACATTTTTAGGAGGGGAACTTGGTGGAAGAGGTGCCAGGAGATGGCAATGGGATTTTGTCCAATGGCATGCAGAACATGGGACAGGTGAGAAAGACAGCGGGGTCAGTGAGTATTTGCTCCTTACCGTGCCAGGAGTTTCATTCCAGTAAGGAACTTTTCGTTCCACCATTTCAATGCCCACGATTCCAAAGGACCATATGTCCACTTTGGGGCCATATGCTTGACCTGTCACCACTTCAGGCGCCATCCACCCAGAAATGCTGGCCACGGAGCTCCGTCTACTCTGCTCAGGGGTGAGCTGAGCAAAGAGGCCAAAGTCAGCTGTGGAGAAAACAACAAACCATCAAAGCCAGCTCCAATTAGGAGAGCAAGCAAAAGAATTCTCCACTGTCAGTCTAAGAATGTGCTGTTGAATCTCCTGGAGAACTGTCCACACTTGGTTTCCTTGGGGCTTTAGCCAAGGAAGAATGGAATTAGCAACTTCCAAAAAAAACAGGTTTTTTAACGCTGCTCACAGCAGTGGTCTTTATTCCCCTGAAGCTTTAGATTGTACCTCCCTCCCTCTGAAAGGGACACACACAGACCAACACCACTCTTGACTTCTTTTGGTTCCTTGTCATGCCTCTGTACATGTTGCAGCTGTGTCACCAGCTCACAGCGGGTGTCCCTGCACTGCCACCAGCACCATTTCTGGGGAGCTGGCAGTCACTCAAAGCAGCCCCACACCCACATCCCTGCAATGCTGCACCTGGCCAAGAATGTACTGACCCAGCTTGACAGAGCCGTCGGTTCTGAGAAGGATGTTGCGGCTCTTCACATCTAGGTGGATCACGTGGTTTGAATGAAGAAAATCAAGTCCTCGCAGGCACTGAGAAAACAGAAACAGGAGGACAAAAATTAGTGCTGTGATTTCATCACACAAGAAAGGAAACAAAGAGTGAAAAAGATTCCCTTTCCCCAGGGGAATGGGGAGTAATGGCAGAACACAGTGCCACTGAGAGGAAGAGCTTGCTGCTGCAACACTTGCAGAGCAGGACCTTTCTGAGGAAAGGCATGTCAGCTTTTGAAAGAGCAACAGCACCTGCTGTTGTAGACTGTCCCCTGCAAACCAGCCAGGATGACTGCTGCTGCAGGGGACATGCTATCCCCATGCAGAAGGCAAATGAGGGTTTTTTCCAAGAAATAAAAAGTCGCTCCCTTTGGTATGAAGTGGATCGATTTTGGGTGGGAGGCTGCATGACAAAGGTTTTATTGCTGGCCTCAGCACAGGCTTGGAAGTATCACATCAGTCACCTTCCTGAAGCAAAGAGCATTCTGGCTGCCCTACTATCCTTTTCATTTGAGGACTGTGAGAAATCTTTTTCTTTGCAGTTAGCTTCAAATCCTGCCACCAGCACCTCTGCTTTTAGAGGCAAGGAATGCAGTGCACACAGGCTCGAGGCAAACGTTTAGAAAGGCAAATAGAAATACAAGAGGCAGAGCGAGAATACAAGAGCAGGAGATAAGAGTAGAGGAACTGAATACTGTGAGTGCAGGGGCACTGGCAGGCCTTTCACTTGAGATGCTTTTACTTGCCCATAGCATAGCAGCAACACAGAAACAAAGCTTGGCACATGAAATCACTCCACTCACTGAGCCCCCGTTTCCCAGACAATCCTGCCCAAGCCCTTGGAAACACAGATGGGATTGCTGACCTCCCGGCTGATGGCTGCCATCTCGTCTTCAGACAGGTAGGTCTCGCTGATGACATCGCTCAGAGTGCCTCCATCCATGTACTCCATAACCAGCCAGAGTTCCTCATCCACAAGGTAGCTGGAAGAAGGAAACAAGAGAATGGAGATAAACATGCATGGGTAGGTTATTTTCTTGATTGATTCTTGTTTCCAGGTCCCTCTGTGACAAGGACAGAATCAAAGGAATAGACATTCCCTCCTGGCTGTGCATTGTTTGCAATCTCTGCAGTCTCAAAAAGAAAGGCACAGCTGTGAAAAAGGAGATGTCTTAGATGGCCAGCAAGTTAAAAATGCAGTTGAGTAACAGATAAAAAACTCTGCATGCTTCTGGAAATAAACGCCTACTCTTCATGGCATGCAAAGCAATGGAAAAGAGAGGACTGAATCCAAGGGAAATCCATGTTAGTTTTTCTGTACATAAAAAGACACTTGAAGAAAATCAAGCCCCAAAACAAAGTGGTGGCTGTGAACTTACAGGCTATTGATTTAGTAAGACATGACTGATCCACGTTTCTGAATAATTTTCAAACTATGTGAAAGGAATAGACATTCCCTCCCGGCTGTGTATTTGCAATCTCTGCAGTCTCAAAAAGAAAGGCACAGCTGTGAAAAAGGAGATGTCTTAGATGGCCAGCAAGTTAAAAATGCATTTTAGTCTTCATGGCATGCAAAGCAATGGAAAAGAGAGGACTGAATCCAAGGGAAATCCGTGTTCGTTTTTCTGTACATAAAAAGACACTTGAAGAAAATCAAGCCCCAAAACAAAGTGGTGGCTGTGAACTTACAGGCTATTGATTTAGTAAGACATGACTGATCCACGTTTCTGAATAATTTTCAAACTATGTGTGCCAGGCAATAGTGATGCAGAAAAGATGCACTCTCTTCCCATCCAGTGGAGAGAGCAGAGCAATAATAATTAAGCAATAATTTCAGTTCTATTTTCTGCCAGTGACCAAAGTGGGATTTTACCTTGCATGACTGCTGCTGCAGGGGACATGCTATCTCCATGCAGAAGGCAAATGAGGTTTTTTTGCCAAAAAAAAAAAAAAAAAAAAAAAAGCCCCCCCCTTTGCCTTTGGTATGAAGTGGATCGATTTTGGGTGGGAGGCTGCATGACAAAGGTTTTATTGCTGGCCTCAGCACAGGCTTGGAAGTATCACATCAGTCACCTTCCTGAAGCAAAGAGCATTCTGGCTGCCCTACTATCCTTTTCATTTGAGGACTGTGAGAAATCTTTTTCTTTGCAGTTAGCTTCAAATCCTGCCACCAGCACCTCTGCTTTTAGAGGCAAGGAATGCAGTGCACACAGGCTCGAGGCAAACGTTTAGAAAGGCAAATAGAAATACAAGAGGCAGAGCGAGAATACAAGAGCAGGAGATAAGAGTAGAGGAACTGAATACTGTGAGTGCAGGGGCACTGGCAGGCCTTTCACTTGAGATGCTTTTACTTGCCCATAGCATAGCAGCAACACAGAAACAAAGCTTGGCACATGAAATCACTCCACTCACTGAGCCCCCGTTTCCCAGACAATCCTGCCCAAGCCCTTGGAAACACAGATGGGATTGCTGACCTCCCGGCTGATGGCTGCCATCTCGTCTTCAGACAGGGAGGTCTCGCTGATGACATCGCTCAGAGTGCCTCCATCCATGTACTCCATAACCAGCCAGAGTTCCTCATCCACAAGGTAGCTGGAAGAAGGAAACAAGAGAATGGAGATAAACATGCATGGGTAGGTTATTTTCTTGATTGATTCTTGTTTTGGCGGTTGTTGACATTTACCTCTCCCCCTGTGGCATTGTTGAGTGCTCTGCAAACATCTCCAAAAGTCCTAGAAACAAAACAGCAGCAAAGAAAGGAGAAGCTGTTTAGATCTTGGAGTGAAAGGCAGCCCACGCAGGAGATCTCTGCTGTAAGTGCCTAAAACCTGCAGGATGCAGGAGGGCTGTGCCAGAAGGCAGATGATGCATTTTTCCTCTCAAATGCATGGGCACTGGGCTTGGGCCTGAAGCTCTGGGCTTTACTGCCTCAATTCAAAAAAAGAGCTCTTTCTTTCATCTCAGGTTTCAGCTTCTAAACTGTTCAGTTTTTATCCTGACCATGGAGTATTTCCCTCAGCAAACTCTTGAAAATAAAAGTTCCTGACAACTGTTATCTGACAGTTGTCAGGGAGGAGATTGCTCTTTCAGGCAAGCAAGTTTCTTCCTCTTTAATTAGTGCACTTGTATGATTTAGAGACAGAAAAAAGTGCTAAGGAAATTAACACAGAACTGTCCCATACTTGAGAGATGAGATCTTCCAGGTCCTGTTCCTTGATGCAGGCAAGACCTCGGCAACATGGAGGCATCTCTGACAATGCCTTCTGAGCCCACTCACAAATTCTGAGCAGCACTGAGAGATGGGACAATCTAGCCCCAGTGTCTGAACATGTTTCCAATTGGTCTGACTTCAGACTGGACAGACATTCCACTAGAAAAACACCTGGCCCATGTTTATGTAGAAGTAACTGTGGTTGGACTCACCCGCTGCCAATATTTCCCAGTTCCGTGTATTTCGTTGTGGGATTTTCCATGGTCCCCAGTCTCCCTGAGGGAAACAAAATGCAAGGTGCTCACTTTAAAGCAGAGATCCCAGCTTTCAGGAGATACAAAAGGCAGCTCCACTGTCTGGAGCTCTGAGCCCTTTGTGGTCGGCTGGGTAATAACAACAACCAGGCAGACAGCTCTGCAGCACAGGGGGCCAGCACAGAGAATGATTTTTTTGCAGCAGTTCCTGTGGGGAAATGTCCCTAAATGTCCCTGTGACATCAAACTCAGGAGAAACATTTGGTAGGGCTATGCTAACACCTGCACACAATACACTGTCCCTCAGACAAGAAAGACACCAGACGTACTCCATTGCTCCAGGGAGTCATCCTTGACCTCCTGTTGCTGAGCATCAGCTGGGTTAGCCCGGGAGACGAACAAACTGCCCTGGCTCCACTTCTCAGGTCGGGGAGCAAAGGCTCCTTTAGACAATGCTGCTGCTGCAGCAGGTTTGGTGACAGAGCCCGTGTAGATCTGGAAGAAGAAATGAGTTTATGTCAGGAAGGTGGCTGGCTGAGATTGCCCTGAGATCCCTTTTTGAAATGCAAGCCCTTAGAAAGGTGCTGTCAGCCACATGCAGGACTCTTAAAATGGATTACTTGGATGTCCACTTCTCAAACTGGATGGGTCTATACCAAAGGTTAGTTCTACTCGAGTTCCTGGCAAGATTCATGTTTCATCTTAATGGATTTTCCAAAGGATGCCTGCCACAATGACCATTCAACTTCTTCTCAAGGATTCCTGTCCCCCTCCAAGGGCTGCAGACACACTTGCAGCTCCTTGTTCAAGTATTCTGCCTCCTCCCACTGTGTCCTCTTTTCCTGCACTATCTTCAGGTCATGCTCAACCTGCAGCATTTCTGATGGGGATGGTACCTGGGCCTTACGCCAAACTTGGGGCTCTTCATTGCCAGATGTTCTCTGGAAATCTTCGCAGGCTGCCAGGTGAGATGTCAACACTTGCACCTCAAATCAAAGAGAACAAAGATGTCAGAGACTACAGCTTGTCCCTGTCAGCCAAGAGTCACCAACTGTGAGCAAAAGGAAAGAACAAGGGATACAGACAGCTTGTTTCAATCCTCCATCTGGGTCACCATGTTGCACTCTAAAAACACCTCAAGAAAAAAGGAGAGCAGGAACAGGCCAGCAGGAATCCATTTGGATGACTGCTGGCCGGAAGGCCAAAGGACAAGTCCCACTGTCCATGGCAGCAGCTGAGATTCAGCACAGCAAGAAATGTCCTTCAGAGTGACTGTGATACACACTAGAGCAGGATTGCACTCAGAGGCATGGCCCCACTCCCTGCTGCTGTGCAGTGGAAAGGCAAGAAGGGCAGAAAGCACCAGTTTGGTGACTGCAGTGACTGTCCCTCCTTCACTCACTTGCTTTTGTAGAGCCTGAGGGAGGGGATTAAGTTTCTCTCTGATGATCTTCATTTCTTCCTTCTGATTCTTCTCCCTTGCCTTCCACCTAGCCTGAGCTTTCTGCAAGTCTGCATCCATCTGCGCCTTCATTTTTTCTAAAAAACAAGAGAGAGGATGTTTTGTGAGTGGAGTGGCTGCCACTCTTTCACTCACCTGGTTTTGTTGATCGCCTCTGAGCTGAGGGAGAGTCATCTCCTCTTCAATTCCTATGTCTTCCTTGCTCCTTCTCTTCACTTCCATAATGTCACTCTGAGCTTCAGGCAGCTCTGGTTGCTGTTCTGCCTTGATGTTCTGTACACACAAATGCAGAGCAAGTGACTGGGAGCTGCCATCAGGCTCAGCTTTTTGCTCTTGCAGCCACAAAATCACATTTATTCAGCCATTGCTTTCTGCTTCCCTACCCACATCTGCTTCCAATGTAACCCTCCTGTCCTGGTGCTGATCTCTGCAGATTCTAAGGCTCTGTGCTTTCAGTGCCTGTGGGCCTCCTGGCCACAGTCTTGGGAAATTCTGGAGCGTGTAGGTCCTTACGGAATGTGATCAGACCCAGAGCATTGCACTCTGGGAACTGCACTCTTTGTGCATCTGTGCTTGGGCAAGTTCTTCCCTTGGACTGGACCACAGTGACTGTGCTAAAGTATCTGTAACCAGAAATGCAGCCCAGCCCCTCCCAGCTCGTCTGATCTCTGAGGACCAGCTGGAATGCAAGGGCATTGATTTCCTGCTCAGTTCCCAAACACAACAAAACATGATTGTCTGGGCAGCAAAAAGACAGAGGTAATGTAAATGTGAACGTAAAGTGCAAGGCCCTACTGACTGGCCTGGCACAAGAAAATTTCCTTCTGGAGCAAGGCTCGTGCCCCTAACTAAGAATTCTTATGCAAAAACACTGCATCTTCAAGAACTGCAAACTTCAAAGTCAAATTAGAGCAGAATTTCTACTATAGAGAGAAAATGGCAGGAAAGATGGGGGAAAATCAAGACAATCATCACCTTGCAGCACATGAAAAGCCAAAAGAGAGCCGGCCCAAAGATTTTGTAGAAGAGAAGAATGACTCAAGAAAACTCCAGACCAGTTTCACAAGCCAAAGACAGGTTTCCAAAAGGGGAAAACAAACAAAGAAAGCCCTGGGTCCTCCAGCACTGCCACGTGTGCCCTTGGCCATTGCACTGCAGAAGCCCAGAGACAGAGCTTCACTGAGGCAAGCAGCCAGATGCTCAACTGGGGGAGGCACCAGTGCTTTGGTGCCAATACATGACAGGTCCAAGGCCAAGTTCTA